CGCCCGCCGCCCGCCGCCGTGCCCGCCGTGGGCAAGGCGCTGTGGAGCGTGGAGCGGCCCCGCCGCGCCTGGAGGGCCGAGCGCGCCGTCGGCGTGGACTGCAGCTCGCCCGAGCCGCGCTGCATCTGGCTGAGCAGCCTGTGCCGCGCCGGGGCGGCCCCCGCGCGACCGCGGCCCCGCAGGGTGAGACGGGCGACAGCGGGGGGGKCCTCGCTGCCTTCCCTCCCTTCCTGCCCTGGGAGCGGGGGGCACCCGGAGGCGGGGAGGGCAAGGGGGGTGTCCGAGGGTTTTGCTCTGCCTGGGAGGTCTCTGCTCCTTGGCACCCCGTTGTGGAGAGGGYTGTGTGCAGTTTGTTGTGCCAGCCACAACCATTCCTGGATTCTGTGCCTCGCTGGAGGGTGACGGGCTGCTCAGAAACTGGGGAAGGGTGGGGAAGTGCTGTGCCGTCCGTCTCGGGGCGACGCGCGGGGTGCTGGGGGGCTGCGGGCACGCRGGCGAGCCGGGGCGGGCAGCCTGCCCAGCGCTGGGCTGTGCCTCCGCTTGCACAAACGATTATTGTGACGGGCTCGGTGCGTGTCCTTCTGAAAACAACCGTGTCCGGCTTTGTGCAGCGCGTTAGCGCCGGCGGCTGCTCTGCCAGGACTCCTCTTGCTAGTGCCAGGGCCGAGGGAGGTTCGGCAGCACCTCGGCTCTGCTTTGGCCAAGTTTCAAGCGGTTGGTGCACAAGGAGGGCAATGAATCCCCCTCACTGGGCTGGCCCTGCTCCTGGCGGGGTCTGGGCTCTGGTGTTTTGGGGGACTGTGTTAATGAGGGGGCCGCAGCTGGTTGCAGCACACAGGAGGCTTGGGCTGCAAATAAAATAAAGAGGAAAGGCAGGGAGATAACAGGCTTCCTGCAGGGAGAGGGGACAGGGAGTCGGGAGCAAATGGCCAAGATGACAAATCAGGTGTCAAGTGCCAGTGGTCCCCACTGCTTCGGGGAGCAGCCGTCGGGGACTATTTTATCCCAGGGCTGTGTCATCTTGTATGAGCCCCAGTCAGTGACTTCTGAGCCCAAATGTGCCCCAGCCGGGGCAGGCGAGGAGGGGAACGGGGGCGCGGTGAGGAGAGCCTGGCCCGGCACAGGCTGTGCTTGCCCATCCGCTCGCACYGTCCCCTTGGGTCTTTGCAGCAGGTGACTTTCTGCATCCAGCTGCAAGCAGAGATCAGAGGAGGGTGATATGGACTGTCAAGGCTAAAAGCTGTTTTTAATGCAAGCGCTTCTGTGGCCTCTCTKCAGCTCCTGCATGGGCTGTGCCCAGGTGGGACCAGGCTCTGAGCCAGGGGTCCGTGGATTTGCAGGGTGGGGACCTGGATAGGCTGGATCCCACTTGGGCACCTGCAGCATCTGCCTGGCTGGTGCCAAGTGGGAGCCTGGCCAGGCAGGTGGGAAAGAACCACTGTGAGGTCCYGCGGCCAGCGGGAGGCCAACGGGGCTGGCGATGGGGGTCCCGGGGGTCCCTGGGGCAGCTGGTGCCACCGCTAAGTGCTCTGTAATGAGCACACGGGGGCCGTGTTGTGGGCGCCCCACAGCTCCGGCGCTGCCCCGTCCCCAGCGCCGGCGAGCGGAGCTGGTGTCGCTGCCGCCACCGCCCTCCGCGGGGCTTGTCGGGGCTGGTTAAGATCAGCAGGGCACATTCAGCTGTCAGCTTAAAAATAATCCAGCGCGCCGGCGGCCCAGACAATGGCGAGCGCAGATGGGGAGAGGCGCCGGGGCGCGCGCGGCCCGCGGGAAGCGCCGGCTCCTGCTGCAGCGTCACCTCCCGCAGCCCCAGGGAGGGATTCGGGTCACAGCCTTGTGAGAGCCCCTTGTGCYGGTGACGGGCTCTGCACCGCAGCCCTGTCCCTCGTGGGGATGGACTGGGTGCTGCTGGGTGCTGCGTACCCACTCGGGATACAGGATTGGTGCCCGAGGCAGCCGGATTGGAGGGATGCAGCTCCAGGAGGAAGGACAGGGYTTGAGGGAGGGGTTTTGCCTCCCCTCGTGGCTGCAAAGCGAGGACTGGAGCGCCCATCGTGGCACCCATGGGACAGCCACCAGTGGGTGCCCACAGCTGCCCTTGCCCCCTGCTTTGCTGCCATGGGATGAAGCAAAACCCCCAAGGWTCCCCGTGTGAGTCACTCCCCTGGACTGACTTTGCCGGGCCGCTGATCCTGCTTCCAGGGAATGGCTGTGCTGCAGCAGGACAAGGTGCTGGGTTTGCACCCATGGGTGCTGACACTGTTGGGCAGCGGGGACCGCGATGCTGGGCACGGCCCTGCTCCAGCTGCCTGCCCTGGCAGTTCCCATTGGCAGCTCAGGGCACCTCAGGACCAGACAAAGGCTTTTTGTGCCYGGTCCCTTTGTGCCTCCCACTGCTCCGGCCCTGCCTCTCCTCTGGATCTGGCCTCATCTCTCCCTCCTTCATCCCTTCACCTTCCCTCGCTGCCTGCCCTGGTGCCCACATAATGACAGCAAGAGGAAGAGGAGGAGGAGGAGGAGGAGGAGGAGGCGGCTCAGCCTGAGGCGTGGAGCAACGGGAGCCGCTCCAGGACACATCCTGCCCTAGGGCCCCGACTGGTGCCGGCTCCCAGACCTGGCTCTGGAAAGCGGCTCCTGGGCCTCCTGGCCAAGCGTGTCCCGGGAAGCCGCTTTCCGGCTCACCCCCGCTTGCTCCCGGTTATTACCAGTAACTGTCCCCTCCTGCTCCAGCCCCCGTGTGCTCCTGGATCCCCTTCAAATCCCCGCTTCCTTCACAGGATGCCAGACCCTGTTTCCAACACTGCCTCCCTCCAGACTTTGCTGGCACCATCCCATGGACTCCAGGGTTCTGAAGTGCTGCAGGAAAAGTGGGACATGCTTCACCCCTGTGGATGGTGACACCAGCAGTGATGGATGCAGCTCATTTTTCCCCCCCGCTTTTTTTTCCTGGTGCTTCTCTTCCCAAGATGTCCCTGGAAGCTGCTGTACGGGGGCTGCTCCGGGAATGCTGCTCCGGGGATGCTGCTCCAGGGATGCTGCCCTGAAGATGCTTTCAGGGCAGCTTTGTGGGGCTGCCCTGCGGTGAGGGTGCCAGGACCCGCTGCCACCAAAGTGACGCGTGGCTCTTTGCTCCCCGCAGCCGACGCCGGGCCGGAGAGATGGGGCGTCTCCAAACGACAACGCGCCCCCCGAGGAGCCCTTCCCCTGGGTGGGCCCCAAGGCGGTGGCGCTGCGCAAGAGCCCCCAGGGCGGCTTCGGCTTCACCCTCCGCCACTTCATCGTGTACCCGCCCGAGTCGGCCGTGCACTCGTGCTCCAAGGTAGGGCCGGGCGCCGCGCCGGGGACCCCACGGGATGGGGGGCGGATGCYGGGGGGGAGACCTGCTGCTGCTGGTCCTGGTAAGGGTTGTTGGGCATCTGCCGTCCCAGCGGCGCTGAGCTGCTCGGAGACGCGCTCGGAGGAAGGAGGAGGAGCCGGCACCGTCTCCAGAGACACCCSGGAGCTCTTCCCTCTGGAGAAGGGAATCGCCAGCTCTGACTCCTGAGCACTGAGTGTCTTGGCATTCCTTGCAATGGACAGAAATGCCAGGAGAAGCTGGGGGAAATGGCAGCGCTTCAGCCTGGGATGCTCTGCAAGCCGTGCTGGGCACCGGCACTTGTGACACAGGCACCGGTGGCACAGGGACCACCATCCTTGGAGCGTCTCGCCAGCCCGGCTGGCCGCCCGGCGGGACCTGGGGTGCGCATTGGCCTCGGGCAGCACTGCGGTGACACCAGCACTGCGGTGACACCAGCACTGCGGTGTCACCAGCACTGCGGTGACACCAACGCGGTGGCAGCCCCGGCTCTGGCTCTGCTTTCCCGAGCATCCTGCAAAGCGCTGGGATACGATCCCGTCTGCGCTCTCCGGAGCCAGCGCCGGCTCCTCAGCTTTCGCTCCAGAAGGCTCCAGCGCTTCTCTGTGCCCTGCGGGACCAGCGCGGGCTGTTCTGTGCCCCGGCAGACAGGGAAACACGGTGGGAAGTGAATCATGGGGCGGGAGGAACAAGGCGCCCCCGGTCACGCCGGGAGCTGCTGCCGAACCGGCTCTGAGTCTCTCAGCCTTGTCTGGGATGCTGCTTTTCCCACGCTCCTGCTTTGGCTTCCTCTTCTGGGAATCTCTCCTTTCTGTGCTGGGAATGTGGATCTTTCCCTTCTGTGGCACCGGAGAAGAGGAGATGGCGACCTGCAAAGGGGACGTTGGTCAGGAGCCRGTGCTGGACCCGCCCAAGCCGGCTCCGTGCCGAGCCTCTCGCTTCCTTGCTGCACACATCTCCCACCTGGACGCATTCTCCTGGGAACGGCCAAGGATGAGGGACTGATCCTGCCCTGTGCTGCTGAGCACAGCGGGGCGAAGACAGTGGGACCAGCAATGCCGGCTGAAGCCTCCACATGGAGCTGCCTCAGGAAGAGCTGCCGACAGCCCCGGTGCTGGCTCCGGAGGCAGCGGAGCTGCCGGGAGGCATCCGGAGGTGGCACCGCTGGTGGCGGGAGCTGCGCCGGGCGCGGAGTTTCGGTGCCGTTGACTCAGCGGGGAGGGCCGGGCGCTCGGACGGGCGCTCCGCATTCCTCGTGGCCCGGTTTGGCACTGCCGGCCGTGACGTCGGCCCYGGGTGCTGCGGGGCAAGGAGCAGCCCCTTTCCTCCTGCCAGCGCCTGGAGCACCCCTTGGGATGCGCCTTTTCCTTCTTGGTGCATCATTCTCTGGCAGCAGCCCTGGGCCGTCCCTGTCCCCAAGCGCAGCGTGTCCCCAGGAGCCACCCCGTCCCCGTGTCCTTGCCCGGCTGGCCCTGGCCATGGGAGAGCGGGGCCGTGCGTGCCCGTCCGCGCTCGCTGTCAGCTCGCGTTGGCCACGGGCCACGGGAAGCGGCAGCGCCGGCGCCCGCGGCCGGGCCGCGCACGTGGCTCCCTGCCGGGACACGCGTCCCGCCGAGCAATCGCAGCGCTAAATATAGCGGCAACAGCCCCGCCGGCGGCCCGGCCTGGCCCCGCTGCCCCCGGCCCCTTCCCCGCGGCTCCGGCACCGTGCTGCTGCGCGGGCCGTGGCCGGGAGCATCCCCCTCCCCGCGCCCACGGGCTCCGGGGAGCCCTGGGCACCTGGTGCAGGGTCAGGCCCTGTGCCCCCCCGACCACATTCCCCTTCCCTGCTCTGTCCCTGCAATGGGCTCCTGGACCCCGGCGCTGCCCCGAGCCCGCTGGCCACCGGCTCCACTTACAGCTCCGGGGGATCCAGTGTCACAGTTAATTTTACCGGCGGTAGCAGGAGGCTCCAGGTGCCTGGAGGGCTCTAGAGGGTCCTCAGCCATGGGGGCGAATTCCCCACCCGRGCCCCCCCTGCCCACCCCATCCCACCACATCCCGACACTATTTCTCTTTTCCTTTGGCAGGAAGAGGAGAACGGCAACCGAGCGGGTAAGGAGCTTCCCCTGCGCTGTGGGGTGATCCAGGCGTTTCTGGCACAGGGACACCCTTGCAGGGTCTGTCTGGTGGCCACGACATGGGTAGCACAGCCCTAAATACAGGCTGGGATGAGGCGGCTCCGTGCTCCGGTGCCGTTGGCATGGGCGGGAGAGCTGGGTGTCCTCAAAGCCCTTTGGGGCACAGACCGAGGGGACTGTGGCAGTGCAATCGCCCTGTGCACGGTGGGATGGGGACACGGGGACACGGGGACACGGGGACGTGGCCAGCGCTGCTCCTGGAGGCTGCGGGTGACTTGAGCGGAGGCGATGCCGTCAGAACCCATCGGCGCTGACGGAGCCGGGGCTGACAGGAGCGCCGGGGCCGCGGGGCTGCAGCGCCGGGCTCGGGAGGGAGCGGAGGGGAGGGTGAGGGGCAGCGTGAGTGAAACGGGGGCACGCGTGCGCATGGATGTGCAGAGCGTGTCCATGGCTGTGCACGTGTGTGGGAGGGCAGCTATGCATGTGCAGAGTGCATGTGCATGCATGTACAGAGCGTGTGTGCATGGATGTGCATGCTTGTGCACGTGTGTGTGAGGACAGCTGTGCATGCATGTGCAGAAYGMGCGTGCATGCATGCACAKAGCATGTGTGCATGGATGTGCATGCTTGTGCACATGTGTGAGGACAGCTGTGCATGCATGTGCAGAATGCATGTGCGTGCATGTGCAGTGTGTGCATGCTTGTGCACGTGTGTGAGGCCAGCTATGCATGTGCAGAGTGTGTGTACATGCATGTACAGAGCATGTGTGCATGGATGTGCATGCTTGTGCATGCGTGTGTGAGGGCAGCAGTGCATACATGTGCAGAGTGCATGTGTATGCAGCAGGGCATGCATGTGCAGAGCGTATGTGCATGCTTGTGCACGCATGAGGGCAGCTGTGCATGCATGTGCAGAGTGTGTGCACATGCACAGTCGTGCATGCGTGTGCACGGCAGTGCATATGTGTGTGAGGGCGGCGTGGCTGCTTGTTCATGTGCTCTGCCCCCYGGAGCAGGTCCCCCCCGGAGCCGCCTGGAGCCCATGGACACCATCTTCGTGAAGAGCGTGCGGGAGGACGGGCCCGCGCACCGGGCTGGGCTGCGCACAGGTGAGACGCTCCCCACGCTCCCCCTGCGCTCCAGGCTGTGCAGAACGGCTGGGGCTGGGATGAGGCTGCCCCCCCGGGGGCTCCCCTGCGTGCGGAGCCGTCACCTCCTCCTCTATCCCGCAGGAGATCGTCTGGTTAAGGTGAACGGGGAGAGCATCATTGGGAAAACCTACTCGCAGGTCATCGCCCTCATCCAGAACAGGTAACGCTGGGGATGGGGGCGCAGGGGGGACACGGAGGGGACACGGTGGCTGGGGGCACAGCGATGTGCGGTCCCAGCGCAGCGCCCTGAGCAGCACCGCTCTCTCCGCAGTGACGATGTGCTGGAGCTCTCCATCATGCCCAAGGACGAGGACATCCTGCAGCTGGTGAGTCCAGGGCAAGGAGCCGCCTGGCTCCAGGGCAGCTGCGCTCCGCTCCCCAGGGTGTCTCCATCAGCTCCATCCCACTGCTGCCAGCATTGCTGGTCTTGTTCCCAGGGCGCGGATTCCCTAGCAAGGGCTGCCTGGGCTTTGCTGGCAATACTGGCATTCCCATGGGTGGGAAGGATGGGGACATGGCCTTTTGTTAGGGGCTCCCATGTGCCCGCCGCAGATGGGGACGCACGAGGTTTTGCGGCCACTTGCCTGGTCCAGCAGTGTCTGACCCAGGGCTTCCCAGTGGTGACACTGCTGGTGACCGCCCACACGGCCACATTCCTGCCGTTCCTCCATCCCGGCTTGCCCCTTTCGGCGRGCCCGGCTGCAGAAAGGGACACCCRGGGCAGCGGGACAGGACGCTGGCGCTTTGGCGGGCGGCGCTGGCRGGCGGGAGCCGCAGTGCCCGTCCCTGAGCGCCGCCGTGCCCCGCAGGCCTATTCGCAGGACGCCTACCTGAAGGGCAACGAGCCCTACGCCGGTGGGGCGCAGAGCATCCCCGAGCCGCCCCCCGTGTGCTACCCGCGCAAGACCTACCCCTTCCAGGCTCGGGCCGAGCCGCTGGCCGACGCACGGAGCGGCCGCGCGCCCGCGCCGGGCCCCGTGTCCCCGCCACCCGCTGCCAGCAGCCACGGCAGCCCCAGCTCGTCGGCGTCCTCCGCACCCAGCAAGCAGCCCGCGGAGCACCGGAGCCGCACGGCGCCCAGCCGGCAGGAGTGCCAGCAGGCCCTGTGCCGCTGGTTTTGCAGCCGGGAAGCTCGCCGGAGCGCCTCGGAGGAGCGGCGGCACGGGCTGGCGCCGCGCTGCCGCAGYGCCTCGCACGAGCGCCTGGGGCCGGCGGCGCGGGGCTGGCCGCACAGCGCCTCGCACGACACCCTGCTGCAGCAGCCGCGATCCGCCTGGGCGCCGCGCGCCCGCTCCGAGAACCACCTGGGCGCCTACGGGCGCTGCGCCGAGGCGCCGGAGCCTGCTGGGCGCCACTGCGCACGCAGCGAGAAGCCAGGCCGGGCCGCAACAGTGCCCGCCACGCAYCCCGGCCAGCCCGGCTACGCGCCTTCCTCCTGCTCCTCGTCCTCCTCGCCCCGCGAGCCGCCCGCCGCCCCCGTGCACAAGCATCCGTCGCAGCCCAACCTGCCCAGCGCCGACGACGGCGGCTACATCGGCTACCGCAGCTACAGCCCGTCCTTCCAGCGCCGCACCGGGCTGCTCCACGCGCTCTCCTTCCGCGACCCCCATTTCGGCGGCCTTCCCACCTTCAGCATCCCGCAGCGCCCGGCATCCAAACCCGCACCCTGCCCCGATGGAGCGGCCCCCCCGGCGCATCCCAGCCCACTGCCCGCCCAGGCTGCCGAGGCCGTTCCGAGGATGGAGAGCGACGTGCGGACGCCGGAGCCGCCCAGCGAGGAGCGGCGCGAGGAGGTGGTTCTGCGGCAGAAGCCGCCCACGGGGCGCAAGGCACCCGCTCCGCTGCGGCAGATGAACTTTGTGCTGGCCGCCGACGCCAGGCAGGCGGAGCCGGGCGGCAGAGCGGCGGGCGAGCGGCCCGGCCGGCGCGTGGCCCCCTTGGCAGCCCCCGAGGACTCCCTGGCCTCCATCCCCTTCATCGGTGAGTCGAGGGCTGCACCTTGGACTTGCTGCTGGCTGCGGGGTGGGTTGTCCGGTCTCGGAGCATCCTCGGGACCCTGTGCACAAGAGCAGAGTGGAAARGTCCCCATGCAGGGGGACAGACTGGGATGCAATGGGGACAAGTCTTCCGCAGGGACCACCCGGATGGAGGTGGCATGTCCTACTAAGTGGCTTTGCTGGCAGTGGGAGAGCATCTCTAGGTGGGACCTGGCATCTGTGAGAAGACCCTGGATGGGGAATTCTTAGCGGGGTTGTCCCATCCCCTCCTGCCGCTGCTGCGGCTGAATCCCCCCTTGTCCCCTCTTGCAGACGAACCCACCAGCCCCAGCATCGACCTGAAGGCCAAGCACGTGCCGGCCTCCTCGGTGGTCTCCAGCGCCATGAACTCGGCGCCTGCCATCAGCACCAGCCCCTCCTCGCCCTCCTTCGCCTTCGCCCTGAGCCGCCACTACTCGCAGGACTGCAGTAAGTGCCAGGACGGGACAGGGCTGCCGTTGCCCCCCTTCCCTGCTGCTCTCCCCCAGCCGACCAAAGCCAGGGCTCCCTTGCAGCGCTGCCTCTTTTGGGTCCCCCTGCCCGCCCCCCTTTGCTCGGTGCTCTCTGGTGGATTTGAAACCATGCAACAAAACAGGGCCGAGCCTTTCACCTCCCTGAGATCAGCGCAGGCTGAACCAGCTCCTTGCCGGCATCTCCTCCTAAGCCAGGGTCATGCATCCCCTCGAGCCCGCRCATCCCCTCAGGACCATGCATCTCCCTGAACCTGCACATCCCCTTGGGTCCTTGCACCTCCTTGAGCCCATGCAGCGCTGCGGGTGCTCACCTCGGTGTCCCTTTGACCCAGGCAGCATCAAGGCCAGCCGCCGCTCCTCCTACCTGCTGGCCATCACGACCGAGCGCTCCAAGTCGTGCGACGACGGCCTGAACACGTTCCGCGACGAGGGCAAGATCTTGAGGTAGGGCCGGCCCCGGCACTTGCCCGCCCCGTCCCTGCCGCCCTGTCCCGCTCACAGGGTGCCGCTTCCCTTGCAGGAGGCTGCCAAGCCGGGTCCCCAGCCTGCGGATGCTCAGGAGCTTCTTCACCGACGGGGTGAGCACTCGGCGGCTGCCGGGAGCGCGGGTCCCTTGGGATGTCCTCTGGTCGGGTCCCCTGCATTGTCTGCTCTGGATTTGGGGGTTTCTCTCACCTGGGCATCCCCAGCGGGATATCTGTGGAATATCCATCGTGCCGGGATGGCCCCTGGTGCTGCAGCAGGGCGAGCACCGTCACCCAGCGCTGCCCCTTCCCCTCCTGCAGTCCCTGGACAGCCTGGGCACGTCCGAGGAGACCCGCTCCAAAAGGCACTCCGCTTGCGACCTCTCGGACGTGCCGTTCAGCGACGTGCGCAGAGAGGGCTGGCTCCACTACAAGCAGATCCTCACCAAAAAGGGGAAGGTGGGTTCCCGCCGGCGCCCGTCCCGCAGCCCCCGGAGCCGCCGGGCAGCTCCGAGCGCCTCCCTTCTCCCCGCAGAAAGTTGGCGGCGGCATGCGGCAGTGGAAGCGGGTCTTCGCCGTGCTGCGCGCCCGCTCGCTTTCCCTGTGCAAGGACAGGCGGGAGGCGCTGACCTGCGCCCCACCGGCCCCAGGTGAGGAGGAGCCGCCGATCAGCGTCCGAGCGTGCCTGGTGGACATTTCCTACAGCGAGACCAAGAGGAAGCACGTCTTCCGCCTGACGACCGCTGACTTCTGTGAATATCTCTTTCAGGCAGAGGATCGGGAAGACATGCTGGCCTGGATCAAAGCCATCAGGGAGAACGGCAAGGCCGAGGGCGAGGTGAGAGCCACATGGGGCTCCCGGCTGCCTCTGGCTCTCCCGGCGCTAACCGCCTCGGCTCTCCCGGCTCTTTGCCTCGCGCTGCTCCCGCCGGCCGGCGCACGGGGCTCGGCAGGGCAAGAAGAGCGGCTCGGTCGGCACGGGGACGGGGACAGGGACGGGGACGGTGCCTGCGATGGGCCCGGCCGCATGCAGCAGGTGTTGGCATTAGGGAGCATGGGGGATGCGGAGCAGCTRGATGCATCCCGCTCTGCAGTGCTCTGGCAGTGTTCCTGGTGATATTCCCGGCGGTATTCCTGGCAGTGTTCCCAGTGGCAGCAGCATCAGGGATTGCGGCTCGGCCGTGGGCAGTGGGGTCTGAGCCGGACAGGGCGGCTCCCCCATAGGGATGCGCGGGGCTGGATGCACCGGAGTGCAGCTGGGTGCACTCACTTGTTCCCAGAGCCCAATAACTGGTCTGGGCTTCATTTGCTCGTGGTGTTTGTGCCTGGCTCGTGGCAGGCTTGGCTGTGTCCCTTGGGTGTGATGAGCTCAGAGYGGTCTCTGATTCCTGCCATCCTTGCTGGAGGAGCAATGCTGCGGTGCTCCGTGCAGAGCTGGCAGAGCTTGGAGCACACGGCACTGTCAGGAGCTGGGATAGCCGCCCGTGCTCCTTGGAGAGGTCTCTGGCTTTGGATGCTGTGCAGCCTTGGYGGTGGCTTTGGCAAGGGCAGGTGCAGGTGCCCAGGTTGCAGACGGATGCTCGCGGTGGGAGCGATGCTCAYGGGCAAAGCGGTGCTCGTGGCCAGAGGATACTCGTGGCCAGAGGATGCTCGTGGATGGAGCGATGCTCAGGATTGGAGTGATGTTCCCAGTCATACGGATACTTGTGGTCGGAGCTATGCTCATGGTTGGAAGGATGCTCGTGGCTGGAGCAATGCTTGTGGTTGGAGCAATGCTCACGTTTGTACGGATGCTCGCTGGTGGAGCCATGCTCATGGTCAGAGTGATGCGCGCAGCTGGAAGGATGCTCATGGTTGGAGCAATGCTCGCGGTTGTACGGATGCTTGCGGGTGGAGTGATGCTCATGGTTGGAGCAATGCTTGCAGTTGGAAGGATGCTCATGGTTGGAGCAATGCTCGCAACTGGCAGGATGCTCACAGGTGGAGCGATGCTCGTGGTCGGAGCGATGCTCACAGCTGGAAGGATGTTCATGGGCAGAGTGATGCTCATGGTTGGAGCAATGCTCGCAACTGGCAGGATGCTCACAGGTGGAGCGATGCTCGTGGTCGGAGCGATGCTCACAGCTGGAAGGATGCTCATGGTTGGAGTGAGGCTCGCGGGCGCCACAGGTCACCAATGTGCTCCGGCGAGCACGGGCCGGGGGCCTCGGAGAGCCCTGTGGCCGGGCGCTCGGGCGGCCCGGCGCAGCGAGGGCTTGCTCGGCACCGCCGGCAAACACCGCCGCTCAAGCCCCCCCTTCCCTCTTCTCTCTGCCCCCCAGGACCCCGGCTTTGCCAGCCAAGCGCTAATCAACAAGAAGTTAAATGACTACCGCAAAGTGAGGTACGGAGCGGGGCTGCGCCCCGAAGCGGGGCGGCCCGCAAGCTTGGGAGCTCGCGCGTGGTCAGGCAGGGCCGGGGCTCGGAGCAAGGGCTCGGAGCGGCCCCGGGCGCCCGCGGGCAGCGGCACCTCCTCGCCAGGCCCGGGGACGCGGGGGGACAGGGGGCGTCCCTGCAAGGCGGCTGCTGGGTCCCCCTCCAACGGCGCGCTGTCCCCGCAGCCCCGCCGGCGCCAAGCCTGACTCGTCGCCCAAGGGCGCTCGCGGGCTGGGGATCCGAGGCGAGTTCCTGAAGCCAACAGGAACCAGCGCGCCCCGGTCCCCGCGGCAGGACGCGGCCGTCACGAAAGGTACGTCTGGGGCACCCCACCGGCCGCGGGGACCCCAGCAGAGGACACAGAGGGACCCTCCTGCCACTTCCCACCCTGGCTCCTCAGCAAAAGCCTCCTGTGTTTCCTTCCAGATGAGAGCAGCTCCCAAAAAGCCCTTTGGGGCATCAACATCATGAAGAAGAACAAGAAATCTGCCCCCCGAGCCTTCGGCGTGAGGCTGGAGGAGTGCCAGCCYGCCCCCGACAACAAGGTGGAGCCCCGTGACGGCCGCCTGCGCCAGGGGACAGGGGCTGCGGACACGCGGTGCTGGGTGCCCATGCGGCACGTGCGTCAGGCCCCGCGTGTCCCCGCAGAACGTCCCGCTCATCGTCGAAGCCTGCTGCAAGGTGGTGGAGGACAGAGGCCTGGAGTACATGGGCATCTACCGGGTGCCCGGGAACAACGCYGTGGTGTCCAGCCTGCAGGAGCAGCTCAACAAGGGCGCCACTGAGATCAACCTGCAGGACGAGGTGAGGGCCGGGCGCTGCAGTCCTGTCCCTTGGGATGCTCTTCGGCTTGGCACCTGGCTCCGTGCGGCTCCATCGTGCTCCTAGCTCCATCCATTCCCATCTCCATCCTGCTCTCATCTCCATCCTGCTCCATCTCCATCCTGCTCCCATCTCCATTATGTTCCCATCTCCATCGCATTTCCATCTCCATCCTGCTCCATCTCCATCCTGCTCTCATCTCCATCCTGATCCCATCTCCATCCTGCTCCCATCTCCATCCTGCTCCCATCTGTATCATGCTCCCATCTCCATCACATTCCCATCTCCATCGCATTCCCATCTCCATCCTGCTCTCATCTCCATCCTGCTCCATCTCCATCCTGCTCCCATCTCCATTGTGTTCCCATCTCCATCACATTTCCATCTCCATCCTGCTCCATCTCCATCCTGATCCCATCTCCATCCTGCTCCCATCTCCATCCTGATCCCATCTCCATCCTGCTCCCATCTCCATCACATTCCCATCTCCATCACATTCCCATCTCCATCGCATTCCCATCTCCATCCTGCTCCCATCTCCATCCTGCTCCCATCTCTATCACGCTCCCATCTCCATTACATTCCCATCTCCATTGCATTTCCATCTCCATCCTGATCCCATCTCCATCCTGCTCCCATCTCCATCGTGCTCCCATCTCTATCACGCTCCCATCTCCCCGTCCCGGTGGCCTCTCTCGGAGGTGCAGGGCCACCTAGCGGTGGCGAGGGCGGTGTGGGCAGCAGCTCGTGGGGACACCTGTGTCCCCTTGCATCTCCCTATAGCGCTGTCACCTCCGTGGGGAGGCCTTTCTATGTCCTGTCCCCTCCCTGCTGTCCGTGGCGATGGGGACATGCGTCCCGCCACTCGCGGCCACCCGCATGGCTCGGGGTGGCGACATTCCCCGGGGCTGCTCCCTCTGAGCACCCTGCCGTGTCCCCGCAGCGCTGGCAGGACCTGAACGTCATCAGCAGCCTGCTGAAGTCCTTCTTCCGCAAGCTGCCCGAGCCGCTCTTCACGGACGGTGAGTGGGCTGGGCGCGCTGGGCGCCGCGTGGACCCCCGCGCGCCCGCCGCCCCGCTCAGCGCCCCGCGCCGCCTTGCAGACAAGTACAACGACTTCATCGAGGCCAACCGCATCGAGGACGCCAGCGAGCGCATGCGCACCCTGCGCAAGCTGGTACGCGGGCACGGAGGGGCCGGGGAGTGCCTGGCCGGGGGCTGCACCCCCRTGTCCCTGCTCCCGGTGCCGCGTGGGAACGGAGCGGGACGCGCCGTGGAGCAGGGAGCTCACCTGGTGCCTCCCGCAGATCCGGGACCTGCCACGTCACTACTATGAGACGCTCAAGTTCCTGGTGGGCCACCTGAAGACCATCGCGGACCACTCGGAGAAGAACAAGGTACCGTGGCCCGCGATGGTACAGGTGACCATCGCAGCACCGCCTGTCTTGGGCAAGGCTGGGGGGGCTGCAGGAGAAAAGGAGGGTGTCCCAAGCCCGGACTCCGGGGCCCTCATCCCGGCTGTGTCCCCATGCAGGGGGCCGAGCTGCGGCTCCTGGGGCGGCGCGGAGGGAGCCGGCACCATCCGGAGCCCCCAAAGCCGAGGGGGGGTCGGGAGGGAGCACTGGGGGGGCACGGGCAGGCGATGAGCCCAGCCCTGCTCGCAGATGGAGCCCCGCAACCTGGCGCTCGTGTTCGGCCCCACGCTCGTGCGCACCTCCGAGGACAACATGACCGACATGGTGACGCACATGCCCGACCGCTACAAGATCGTGGAGACCCTCATCCAGCACGTGAGTGCCCGAGCGGCTGGGGGTGGCCACAGGGTCCCCACATTGTGGGGGACCGTGGGGACAGATGCTGACCCCGCTGTGCCACCCCCGCAGGCTGACTGGTTCTTCAGTGACAAGGAGGACAAGGGAGAGAAGGTGAGTGAGGGGCAACGGGATGCAGCACCAGGAGGGTCCCAATGCAGAGCGTCCTTGGGGACATCCAGCCCTGACCACCCTGTCTCCCCYCTTGCAGACCCCTGTGGATGAGAAGGAGGCTCCATCTGTGCCCAACATCGAGTACCTGCTGCCCAACATCGGCAGGACCGCGGCGCCCGCCGACGCCCCAGGTGAGGACGAGCGGCCGGGACACGTCCCCGGCGCTCTCCGGTCCCCCCGGCTCTGGCTCGCCCCTATCCTCGCCCCCATCCTTGCCCTTCTTCCCAGGGCATTCCCATGGGAAGCGGGGACGTCCCGGCCACACTGCCGGCCCCGCTCCGTCCCGCACCCGCCGCAGCTCCTCTCTGGCGCTTGTCCCTCCTGTCCCCGCTGTGCCGAGCCCCCCACCGCGTGGCCAGCCTGTCCTCGGCCTGCTCTGACATTCAACTGACTTCTTATGTTCTTTCCTTGAACTCCTCTGTGCTGTCCTCTTCCTCCTCCTCCTCTTCCTCYTCCAGCGGACCTCCTGGAGAGCTAGAGCGGGTACAGTGTCCATGCCGGGGTTGCCTTGCTCATGCGCTGCCTCCTCCGCGCGGCCTCGAGAGAGCGGGAGGGGACAAGGGTGGGGGGACAGGCCCGGGGTGCCCGGGGTGCCCCCGGTGCTCGCGGTCACCACGGAGCCCCCGGTCTGGGGGTGCCACCGCTCTAGCGGCCTCTCCCTGCGGTGATGCTGGGGCTGCTGCTGGCCCCGACGTGGGGGTCCGGGCTGGGGGTCCCCATGCCCTGGGCAGGGGACATCAGTGCCCCCCTCCCGCTCTCTCCTGGTCGCTGCCAGTCCCCCCAGGCGCGCGGGGCGGGAGGGAGCGGCCGCCGCGGTGTCCCCATCCTTCACATCCCAACCCACCCGGGCGGCCCCCGCCTGAGCGGATGCGATGGAGCATCCCCCCCATCCTGTTGTGTCCCCTCTGCAGCCGCCACGGCCTGGCGTGCGATGCAGACCCGCTCGCTCCCATGTCCCCGTGTGCACGAGCTGCCAGCGTGTCCCCGTCCTGGGGCACGGCTGCAGCGTGTCCCCCGTGTGGGTCCCACGTCCCGTCCATCCCTGCTGCACCCCCAGTCCCTGGGGCCTTGCTGACCGCCCTTCTCCGCTCTCTTTGCAGACTCGACCCACAGCGGCCCCAGCAAGCTCAAGGTAAGAGGAGCTGGGGCGTCGGGCAGGGTGCGGTGCAGCTGCCGGGTCCCGCCCGGCCCCACGCAGGCGCCCGGGCTTGACCTTCCTCCTCCTCTTCCTCCTCCCCGCGCAGGGCACGTGGCCGTCGCGCCGGGAGCCGCCGCAGCGGGAGCCGCTCGCCCTGCCCTTCGTCTCGGCCGTCACCCGCAAGCGGAGGAAGCGGCGGGAGGCCGAGCGCGCGGGGAGCAGCACGGACGACGACGGCGAGCACCGGGAGCAGGCGGCCGCCGCCGCCGCCGTCCCCACGGCGCCGGGGCCACCCGGAGCGCCCCGAGCCGGGCAGCCGGCGGCGCGCGACGACGCGCCGGACGCGCGC